CCTAACCCGTTTTGCGTTGATGTTTTGCCATGTGGACATCATGGTGATGTATACAATAAACTAACCTTAACGATTGTGGTTTTAAATCACTGGTTGCATGTAGTCTGTATTGGTCGTTGTGACAACCTTAGCTGGGCGATATGACTTGAAGACAAAATGTACCATTTTGTTGTAATAATTTATGTTTTCGGTTTTTATAAATGTTGATCATGGATTATCTTTTTTTTTTCAGGCTGTTATATTTGTTTTTGCAGATTGATTTTGTAAGTCAGATTTATAGTAAAATTACGTGTTATGTCCTGGTTTCATTATAAGTACCGGTATTTATGGATGCATTGGTGATCAACAACAGATAATGAAATAAAGTGAAATTTAATGCTCCTATTGTACATTTGTAAATATTTGAACAGGTATTCAGTGCATCTGTCATTTGAATGGAGAGACTGGATGGTCTGGTCTAGATGTTTTAAAGTCTCAGTATTATCCCTATTGTTTTTTTTTGTCCAATTGAATGAAATTTAATAATGTGTTGCAAAAGTACTGAGCTAAATTGTTACTTTTCATTTTGTTACACATGGGTGTATTGAAATACGAATTGTGCTGTAGTTATATGTTGTTGAATCTTTGCTGATGCAGCAAGGTTGATCAGACTACATTAGGGGGTATTAAGGTAAATGTACGTTTTCTATTTATAGATTTGTAAAATTGGTTATGGATTATTTTATGTTATTTCAGGTTTGATCAGTTATTACAGTTAGATTAAGTAAGTGTGATCTATTCCAAATTAGGTTTGATTTCTAAGGCAACAATATATTTTTAGCGATTAGATGTACAATTATGCATTTATTTAAGAATATCATATAGCACTATTGCTTCTTTGTTCAAGTTCAGTGTGAGATAAAAAAGTCATTTGTTCTGGTTTGCAAAAAAAACAAAAATGAAAATAGAATGGTTTAGATTTTGAATTAGCTTGTGAATTTTAATTTATAAAAGAGTGAAAAA